GGCCACACCTCCGCTCTCTAACCCCCTCTCCCCACACCCCCTCCCCCACCCACTTTGATGCATTTTTCAAATTTCGCCTTGGGGCGGAGTTATCTTTTCACGGGGGGGGTAAGATACACTTTAACCTTTATTTATCCAGGTAAATTGTTTGAGAACCACTTCTCATTTACAAACATGACCTGGCACTGAGTGCATTGTAATATACAAACCTACATATTCAGCCATAGTAAAGTGATTGCACATTTTAATCGCAATTAAAAAATTTTAATCTACACCCACGCAGCACTAAAATTAATCAGAGTTAACTCGATTAATTTCACAGCCCTAATAAAAAAAATAATCATCTAAAGTTTCAAATTATTTGCATCTCTGCTTACATTTCTCTCTTGTGGTTGAAGTCCACAGCGTACACGATTTCCTCCTCCCCATCCTTGACAATTTTCCAAACGGTCCCTCCGATCATGTGTCCAGCCGGAAGAGGAGTGATCGAAAGGCCGTGTCCCTTCCCTGGGAGGAAAAAAAAAACATTTTTTTTACCGCCCGTGTACGGTGGAGTGTCACGCCTCTTCGTGATGAACTGTAGTCAACTCTTCACCTTTCAGATTTACAATTTGAGAGTATTTCAACTGCTGGATTTTATCAAAAGCGCTGTCCACGTCATCGAGGGTGAAAAGTGTGAAATCTTCACTGTTGTTTCGGGACTGCAGGGGGGAAAAGAAATGCTTTTTAAGCAAAAAAAAAAAAAAGCTCCATTTGTAGATTAATGCATTCATTTTCAATACTCACTACCCTCAGTACCTGATATAAATCATACATGAACATCTGACCCATTTTGTAGACAGGGATGGTGGCATAGATGGTGCAGTTTAGACCCAGTTTGCCCACAGCATAGGGTAGCGCTCCCAGGTGAATTGGGTCAGGGTGGGAGAGCAGCACCGCGTCAACCTGATGAACGTATCTGGAAGGAGTATTTAACATTATTTCAAGCCACAGAGCAAACAAACAATAAAAGAATACAATATAAATCAAGGAGAACATAAATTAAGAAGTTAAATCTTTAAAAACCAGTTAAACTCCCACCTCTTCATGGCATCAATGATGTCCATGGAGAAGTTCTCGTCCCATCCACAGTCCAAGAGGAAACGGAACTCATCCACCTGCAGCAGGTAACACAGGGCGGACTCCTCCTGGACCCCCGACACGGCAGTCAGCTTGATAATGGACGTCATGTTTCTTCACTTGGCTCGCTGAAAACACACAACCGACCTGATAAAACTGTTCATTCCAGCGCGTTCACAACAGAAATCAGGACTAAACAAATTAAAATATTGCAAAATTCGCCAAGAATGTAAAACGCTACGTATGTCGTGGCTTGGACCAAAACTCTGTGGTTTGCTAGTTAGCAAATTAACCCGGTAAACTTTAGCATGAAGCTAACTAGCATTACACCGTTTTTGTGTCTATGAATGAATAAGGACAGTGAAACATGCAGCATACCAGTAAATGCGAGATAAAATGGAGTATTCTTCGTGGAAATAAAGGGAACAAGTTCGTCAAGTGGATCTTTAAAATACAAACATCAAGGCATGTTTGTTAGCGACTTTGAATAGACTTAACAGGCAGCCATGTTTGAATGACGTCACGTGTGACAGGTCAGAGGAGCGTACCAACTACTGTCGCAGCGAAAAACAAAATAATTTAACGGGAAAATAAGAAGTTTTTTTATATCGAACGTTTTGTATCTATGTAGTCATTTGAATTTAGTAACTTTTGAATTATTACACATGTAAATAAAAATGTCTTTATTATTTGACAACCCCACGTCCCTCTGTGTTTGGTACAGTCCGATGTCCTTCGCTTGGTCAATGAAAACTTAAGGCTGCGGTTTGGTGTTGAAGAAGGTAATAATTAGACTTTTTTATGTATTGTCTTGTTTTATTCTTTGCTTCTGAGTAATTTGATGTATCGGGTTTTCGGAAACAGTTAATCAGTGTTTCCGTTTTATCTTTAAAACGTTAAAACATTTGCTAATGCTTGTTAGCATTGTTAGCATCTCTTACGTGAAAAAGGCTTTTAGCCACTGCAGCGATTCTGATTTGAAACAACTCTTTAAAACCTTTAAGATTTATAAACGTTGTAGCTAATTTAGTTGGGGACTGAAATGCTTTAAGATATCTCAGCCTGACTAGTTGCATGTCTTATTTTAGTCAGTATACGTGTGCAAACGTTGTATGAAACTGCTAAACAATAATAGCAAATTTAAGTTTAATTTAATTTAGCACCATTTATTGAGTTACAAACTTGGAGAAACTCAAGATGAAAGCAGTACTTTTTTATACAATTTTTTAAATGGGTACTCTCCTTTGCTTTTGTTTCAGGAACCATGGTTTTTCCTCTTTTAAAAAATTTTCATTGGTCACACACCTTGGTCCCTATAGGCTTTGTGGTTGGATGGTACCTTGACAAACAATCAGATCAGAAGTTGACGGCTTTCAGGAACAAAAGTGCGCTGTACAAAAGGTAAGAAATGTGATTAACACCAACATAAGAAACATCCCGTTCATTTAAATGCCCTTTCTAACAAGTATACATTGGAACATTTATTATAGTTTACATGCTCACAAGTTGTCAGATTTCTTTCAAATGAGTATTTTAATTTGGAAAACAAAAATACACATATCCACGTCAAATGATCACACATACATACAGGCAGTGGTGGGCAGCACTAATCTAAAAAATTAGCTCCACTAGCCCAAAACTCAAAAATTTAGGTCCCCTAATTCTAAAGCACTAACGCATTTAATTATTTAGCAAAAGCTAATTCTAAAGCACTAAAAGTTAAACCATAAACATTCCTCACATGTTGCTCTAAGACTTATCATTGACAGCTGTGTTTGGGTTCATATATTGTCACGTAGTTTATAAGTGACATAAACAAAATGTGAGTTTTCACCCTCATCCGACATAAATGTTGATCAATAACGTTTATAGACCTGTTAGTGCTTCTACATTTAGCTAATCCACTAATAAAGTTTAAAATTAGCAAAAGCCCTAAAGCTTTAATCAGGAAATTAGTTCCCCTATTAGTAGAGCTGGGCGGTATGGCCAAAAATTTATATCACGGTATTTTCAACATTTACACGGGTTTGATGGTATTTGACGGTGTTTTTCTTTTCATCGCAGCTCAGCTGATAATAAAATGTACAAACACCGCTTATTAACTTTTTGCTTTTACTGTACCTCTGTTTCCCTCCTCTGTGTCTTTTCTCCTCCTGGTTGGAGACAGTAGTCATGCATTTTGGTCCGGTCATGAAGGAGGAGGGTTACGAAAAGTTTATTATCGGGTTTATTGTTTTATGTTATTTATTAAAGCTTATCAGCACGACTCACCTTGCACACCAGTCATTTCCAATTCCATTACAAACTACTTCCTGCAGGCTTTTCACAATAAAACCACGTTATGTCTCCATCAGCATAACGTCTCCATATTAACGTCGCGCATTAAATCTAACTGTGCACGTCACCGAAGAGGTGTTTACTACTTTCAGCGATGGTGAAAACGGGATGTTTTTTTAAACGTCAGTCAATATAAGCAGCGGAGTCGCCACCCGCGGCTGCAACTAGCTGCTCCAAACATTAGCATGCTAACACATATAGCGGTGCTGCGAGGAAAACTGTCCCCCGGGAAACAGCTCAGTGGCGGCCGCGACGAAACGTTCCGCACGTGTTCAGGCTATTTAAACCGTTATGTCCGGTATTCAGAAAATTCATAACAAAAATAAAAACCGGTATTCGGTACAAAAAGGTATACCGCCCAGCACTACCTGTTAGTGCTTTAGGGGAACTGTGTCCACCACTGCACGATTTAAACCAGGGCTGGGCAATCATGGTCCTTGAGGGCTGCAGCCCTACATGTTTTACATGTTTCCTGCTCCAACACACCTGATTCAGTCCCTCAACTACCTCTTCATGTTCTGCAGTATGGAGGACCGACACTGACATAATTAGAAATAAAAGCAGAAATAGATAAATGAACATTTAAATAAATACATTTGAAATGCACCATATAAATTAAAAAGGAATAACTTTACCTCATGTTTTATAATTTAATTTACCTTTATATTTATTTTTCCAGCTTAGTTCCAATAAATTATATATTTTAACATATAATTTAAACTTTAATGTTTTTTATATATTTTTTTACATAATTTTTCCCTTTACTTGCACGTGCATTTGTACCTCTTGAATTCTTAAACTGAATTATTTTTATAATTTTGTTCAAGTCTTTTTATTTCTATGTGTTGCATGCTTTTGCCGCCGCAGTTTAGCTTAAAGTTTAGTCAAAAATAACTGCACAGGTAATGTTTTCATCCTTGCCTTTCTTTTAAACTAAACTTTTAGCTAAAATGAGGCAGCACAAGCATGCATCTCAGAAATAAAAAGATTTGTTGGAAAAAACATAATTCTTTTTAAACATTTAAGAGACACAAATGCATGTACAAAAGGAAAAACAATAAATATATATTTTTAAAAAACAGTAAACTAATTAGTAGACATTTTTTGGAACTAAGCTGGAAAAATAAATATGAAAGTCAATTAAAATATAAAACAGGAGATGAAGTTCTCCTTTTAAAATTTAATCGGTGCATTTTAAGTGTATTTATTTAGTGGTTCATATTATTCTGCTTTTATTTCTAATTATGTCAGTGTCGGTCCTCCATACTGCAGAAGGCTTTCATTCAAATCAGGTGTGTTTGAGCAGAGAAAAAAGTAAAACCTGCAGGGCTGCAGACCTCCAGGACCAGGATTGCTCATGCTTGATTTAAAGCTTCCCCAAGTTTTAAAGTTATGTAATCTGCATAAATACAGTTGCAAAACTGAAGTGAAACTACCTGCTTTACTACTCTAACAAAAAAAAAAAGTAAAAACAAAATTAGTTTATCTAATTTGTGTATTTCAACTGTGCATACTTTATTTCAATCATGCTTGTGTCTGAGGTTTATTCTAGTTTTACAAGCTGCAACTTCACAAACATCGGACAAAATATATGTTAAAGGTGAAAATCAAAACACTAAAACGTTTTTTCTGAAGTAGACTTTAAAAATCTAACTTTGAAACTAGGGCTGCCACAAACGATTATTTTAATAATCGATTAATCACCGATTATTTATTCGATTACTCGACTAATCAGATCATACGTTAATTGAGCTTATCACGTCAGAATGCAGCTGCTATTATATAACCATGGTTAGATTTTAGCTATATGCTAACTAAAAATAATAGCTGTGGAAGGTAAGTTCTGCTCTGCAGATATTACACAGGTTTCTCTTTCATTTTCTTAAAATGATCCCACACTTTGAGCTCTGTTGTCAGGTAGCCATGATACCAGAGCCTGTCTGTATAATGTCTTGTGACGTCCACGGCCTACCCCAGTTACCACTACTGTGCATGTGTGTCAAGGACAGAAAGGCAGATGTGGCAGAGAAAAACAAAGTAAAGAAAAACAAAAAAAAAAGAAAACGATTAATCGATTATTAAATTAGTCGTCGATTAATCGTGGCAGCCCTACTTTGAACAGGATGGTAAACTTACCTATCAAACCTTAGACATTTCAAATAAAGTTTTAAAAGTACGCAGTTTCTTGATACAATCAGATGAAACTAAAATGTATTTTGTTTGTAGGGAGCTGAAGCCCGGTGAGGAGGTAACATGGAAGTAGATGTTCTCCTGCGTGGAACGTCCCGTCCTCTGAGGTGTGCATGATCCATGGACGGTCCTCAACTCACGTCATTTTAGGAGATTCCTGTACATGTTCTTTTTGAGTTGTATCAACTAAAAGATTAAACAAACATGCCCTTTCTCATTAAATTATTTTGTACTTGGTTTGTTTCAGCACGGGTTAGTTGAACTAAAAAAAAATCAACATTTTCAGCACGTTACACAAAGGTTTGTATTGAACTTGTTTTATTTAAATCTATTCGTATTCTCAGTGTAATTAAACAATCTGTGGCGACGAAAGAGGTTCTGCCGTGTGGATAATCCCCTTCTCAAAAAGCAGTTCTGCCAAAGCAATCTGAGAAGAAGAAGAATCACAAACTTGTATCTTTTTCATCAGTAAAACCTTTAAATTAAGTGTCGGATCAATAGAACTTACTTTGTTCTGAGCAGAATCGCACGGCAAGCTTCCTACAGTCACAAAGTCAGGATACGAATGGATCAGAAACTCGACGGCGTCCGTGTGCTAAAAAAGAGCGATAAAAAGTGAGGCAGGTGTCCTCGTTAGAACGCGGCTGAACTTCCAGATCGAGGCTTTTACCTCCGTTTGGATTTCGAAACTCTTGAGCTCCTCTTTGTGGTAAACCCTGGAGTTCTCTGTCGTGTAGTAAAGGTGAACCGTGTCTCCGTCGCTGCCCAACCTGGTCAGGAAACATTCCGTAAACCTAATTTTCTCATTAAAGATTCATTTTTTTTAGCTTAAGCTTGTAGATGACTGTAATTTTTATCATAGGTACTCTTCAACTGTGAGTGATGGAATCTAAAACAYAAATCCAGAAAAATACAATGTATGATTTTTAAATAATTAATTTCCATTTTATTGTGTGAAATAAGTATTTGATC